TGTTCTATTTTGTGCAGGTTGACTTTCTAAAATGGCACAGATACCGACTCTAGAGCCTTTCAATGTTGATGGAGACACAACTTCAGTGGGTCTACAATGGGAAAAGTGGAAAAGAGCACTTGATATGTATTTTGTTGCTGCAAGCATCAGTAGTCCCATACAAAGAAGAGCGACACTACTACACGTAGGTGGATTGTCTTTACAAGAGATATACTATAACATTCCTGGTGCTCACGTGGAATGTACAGAAACTACAGACGCTGCAAGGGTTACTACAGCTACAGATGTATATGAAGTTGCCATAACAAAGCTAAATGATTACTTCTCTCCCCAGCAGAGCTCAGTGTATGAGAGGCACATATTTAGATCACTCAGGCAAGAACCAGATGAAAAGTTTGAAAAGTTCTTGGTGAGACTGCGTCATCAGGCAGCAAAGTGCAACTTTACTAAAACAGATGATAATATCATTGATCAGATAGTTGAGAAGTGTGTATCACCTGAGCTGAGAAAGAAAGTTCTGCAAATGGGAGAAAGTATAACCTTAAATAAGGTAATCGCAGAGGCCACTACTCTGGAAGTGGTTGAAAGGCAACTAACACATTTTAATGTGGAAAGGAAAAACCAACCATTCCAGCCCATTCATCGTATTGAAACTCAAGACAATCATATAAATTTAATCCATAAAGAGTGTACTCGATGTAGTAGTGACAAACATTCATCAGATCACAGTAACTGTCCAGCAAAAGGAAAGAAATGTTTGAAATGTGGATACACTGGTCATTTTCGGTCCCAATGTAAGACAAGGACAAGTAAACGTAAACAAACAAGTAACACTTCCTTTGAAAATAAGAAATTTAAAAGTGTGAATTACAATGAAAACGTGGATCAAGAAATTGATTATATATTCTGCATTGATGGTGATGAGGTCATAACCTGTGATGTTGGTGGAGTAAGCGTTGAAATGATTATTGATTCAGGGAGTCAATGCAATATTATTAGTGATAAAACTTGGGAACGTATGAAGAAATTCAGTGTATTAGATACTGATTTGATCAAGAATCCAAATAAAGTTTTAATGCCCTATGGCAGTACAAAACCTCTTGAAGTGATTGGCTCTTTCAGAGCTGAAATAAAAACTAACAATAATAAAGTTAAAGCAGTGTTCTATGTGATAAAAGACGGTACAAAAAATTTACTAGGAAAATTCACAGCTAAAATTTTAAATGTGCTCAAAATTGGATTAAACATAAATAATATTGGTGCAGATGTACTACCATTTCCAAAAATCAAAGGTGTTATACTAGATGTGCCTATTGATGACTCAATCAGACCTGTTTGTCAGCCCTATAGGAGAATTCCGATACCCTTGGAATCTAAAATAAATGAGAAAATCAAGGAATTTGTTAAAATGGACATTATAGAGCCTGTAAATGGATCTTCTAAATGGATCTCTCCTATTGTGCCAGTTCTCAAGGATGATGGAGAAGTAAGAATTTGCTTTGACATGAGACAGGCGAATAAAGCAATTATAAGGGAAAATCATCCGTTGCCGACATTAAATGAATTAATTCCAAGATTCAGAAAAGCCCAACTATTTTCAAAACTAGACATTAAAAATGCTTTCCATCAGGTGGAACTTAGTGAAAACAGTCGGCTCATCACCACCTTTATTTCTAGCTCTGGGCTGTACAGATACAAACGTCTGATGTTTGGTATGTCATGTGCACCTGAACATTTTCAAAAAATAATTGAAAGGATTCTCCTCTCATGGGTGGGCGTCGTAAATTTTATTGATGATATATTAATTTTTGGACAGAATGAATTAGAGCATGACCGTAGACTTTGTAATGGCTGGACGGAGGCATGTTCAGGAATAAGATAATAATAACCGAACGACCCGCGCATACAAGCATACAAGCAGCAAGTGCAAGCGCACCCGCTGCCATATACACGGCCACGGGTGAACCAGCACACATACGAGCGGCAGCAAGTGCGCGCACACACACACCGACGCTCCCGCGGTGTGTGCGTGAAGACACGAGCGGTCCATACGCGCCGCAACGTCTACGCTCGCATGGAGACAGCGCACACACACACACAGACGCCCCCGCAGTGTGTGCGTGAAGGCACGAGCGGCCCATACGCGCCGCAACGCTTATACAAACGCAGAACACGCGTGGAGGCGCGAGCAGCTGCCCACACACACATAGAAATGCCGCTCACACGGCACAGCAATGTCGGCACATCATAGCGCAAGGCACACGCGAACGGTGGAATACGCACGCGAGTTCCAAGGCCGAAAGAGCGGCGAAATCACACGCACGATTGAGAGCTAAACTAGCACCTGCGGATATACACGGGCGGATATAGAGCCGCGAATTCACAAGAACAATTCGACGACAGCAAGGGGCTCACACGTGCAGCAATAAAGATCGCGCAGCGCAGCACATGTGGCCGAAGCCGGCGTGAAGATGGTGACAGGCCGAATCGGCGAACAAGACCGGAGGCAGGGGCCGTTAAAAGATGTAGTTTATGATCGACGGCCCGAGCAAGCTTCGCATCTCGTCGATTCATCAATGAGAGGCCCGAGCCGGCTAAATTCCAGGAGGCAACTTATAAACTTTACATTTTGTGCGACAAAAAATAGATCACCAAGCAGGACCGGACGAGGAAAAAACGGTAGCAGGAACTAAACATCCCCTCAACAAACATGTGCAAGTCGTTCACAGGACCAGACCGGACGCGGAGTCCGATATAAATACCGGGCCACAGCACGGCCTCAGGACACACCGTGACCGAACGCGAACCAGGGCGGAGCTACGCTCAATCGCGCCACACCTTGCTCTAATCGGGACCACGCCCCACCCAAGAGACATAAAGTCGAGTCATTAGCTTTCAGTCAGCTGGCATATTTTATTAATAATAAATAGATGGTCAAACCAGCCATCACAACTTGAAGAAGTAATCAAAATTTTGGAAGAGCATGATATTCTCTTAAATGAAAAGAAATGTATTTACAAAGTAACAGTTATTAACTTTCTGGGTCTTGAACTCTCAATTAAAGGCGTGAAGCCTATGGCTAAGTATACAGAGAATATAATGAGTTTCAGAACACCTTCTACTATAGAAGAACTCATGAGTTTTCTGGGTTTGGTAAATTTTTTAAACAAATGGATACCGCATTTAGCCACTTTAACTGACCCGTACGGAAATTGCTAAGATTAAAACTATCCAAAACAGCTAATTTAAAAGAATATTGGAAAAATGAACAGACGCAGAGTTTTAGTGAATTAAAGGAAATTATGAGCAATATAGAAACATTGGGTTATTATGATCAATACGATAAGACGCAAGTTTACGCGGACGCCAGTCCGATTGGACTTAGTTGTGTACTCATTCAGCATAATGTAAAAAGACCTCGTGTTATAGCCTATGGAAATAAAAGTCTCACGGATTGCAAAAGAAGATACTGCCAAACGGAAAAAGAAGCACTCTCACTCGTCTGGGCAGTAGAACACTTTAATATTTATTTGTATGGTAAAGAGTCATTTGATTTAATTACTGATCATAAACCTTTGGAGGTTATTTTTGGCCCCAAATCAAAAACCTGTGCCAGGATTGAACGATGGGTCCTTCGCTTACAATCGTACAACTACAAAATTATCTACCGACCTGGGAAGAGTAATATTGCTGACCCATTATCTAGATTATGCATTACTTCAGCGACACAATCTTTTGGAAACGAAAACTATGTGAATCTAGTGATTGAAGCTTCTCGACCAATTGCAGTATCTTTAAAAGAAATCAAAGAAGGTTGCAACTCAGATTCGGAAATGCAGATGGTTAAAGAAGGGCTTCAGAACGGAAACTGGAAACCAGAGGTTTTGAATTATAAAATATTTGAGCTAGAACTTTGTTGTCAAGATGGAATTTTACTCAGAGGTAATAAAATAGTTATACCTATAAATTTACGTAGAAAGGTATTGTTAGCAGCGCACGAAGGACATCCGGGTATAGTAGCTATGAAAGCTCGACTAAGAACAAAAGTTTGGTGGCTAAAGATTGATAAGGATGCGAAAAATCTTGTTAAAGCTTGTAAAAGCTGCACCCTTGTTTCAGCACCGAATCCTCCAAATCCAATGAAGAGACGCACCCTTCCCACTCAGGCATGGATTGATGTAGCAATTGATTTCCAAGGACCTCTTCCCAGTGGACATTATCTTTTCGTCATAGTTGACTATTTTAGTCGTTATAAAGAGATTAAAGTCATGAATCTCATGATGTATAATAGTACACCTCATTCAACCACAGGCAAAGCACCATCAGAATTATTTTTCAGGCGTCTTTTTAGAGATAAGTTACCTTCTGCGGTGGATGTAGAAAATACAGCTGAGGATTCTGAGATACGAGATAGAGATTTTGTAAATAAATCGCGAGGCAAACAGTATGCAGACAGTAAAAGATGTGCGGAAGATAGTAATATCAATGTTGGAGAAAAAGTGTATGTTAAGAATTTAATCAAGAACAATAAAACTACATCTACATTTAATGAGATTCCTCATACTGTTATTCAAAGAAATGGGGCTGATGTTCAAGTTGAAAATGACGAGACTGGTCAGAGGGGAAGAAGGAACATTATATATTTAAAAAAAGTTGAAGGGAAATGGAAGGTATGTGGAGAAGACAAATCAGATATGCAAACTTTGGACCAAGGAACAAATCAAAACGATAAATATGAAGATTGACAGTATATTTAGTAATAATGTAATAACTGAACACTTAAAATTAATTAATATTTTAATATTATTATTTATTGTTTTATCTAGAAATGCTAGTATTTAGACTTACATTTAGGTTATATTCAATTATGTTATAATCATTTATGTTGATTAGATTTAAAACATGTTGAGTTACATGAAAAACTTTATTTCAAAATTTTGTTAACAAAAGAAAGAATGTACTATACTGTATTACCAAAAATAAAAGAGAGGGAGCGCGCGTGTCGAGTGTGAGTGAGTGTCGGTACACACTGCGCAGCGTGCGACACATGTACACGACGAGGCGAAGAGAGAACCGGATAGTGTGAGGTGCTAATAAATGTTAAACACTTAAATTACTAGTTGTTTATTTATCCTACCTAAATATACGTAGGACACTACACAGCCTTCAAATCACAGAAGCTAAAAAAAAAAAATATTTATTCTTGTTGATTAGTAGGTGACTAGCTCTGTGTTTTTTTTATTTTGATCGTTCAAGGAGATGGCGAAGCCAGCCTAGAAATTAAAATTTCAATCCCGTTTTGGCAGTTATCTGCTGAATATTTCTGCGAAAGTCTACAATTAATAAAAATAAATACATATTACAAGTAATAAATAATCGAAAAAATTTTAATATAGCTCCAATCTATTTTTTCCTTTCTTGGTAAGTAACCGTGCCTAAAGCACGCCCAAAGCCACCTATTATTCTTTCAGCCATTTTTCTTTCTTCTTGCGTCGTAATTACTTTAGGGATCCTGCCGTTATGCGGAAGATATTGAACATAACCCTCTGCAAAAGATAAAGACATGGCGAATTAAATAAGTAGAATAAACGCTTACAGGTATACAATCAACTTACTATGTAACGCTTCTTTTTTCTTAGGAGTAAATGCTTGTCTATTTTTCTTATCTGCAGTTCTATGCCTTTGTACAGCTATTGATAGAATAGATCCACCTTAACAAATCGAATGTATAATTTCTCGTACGAATCCATATTTCGTTTTGGCACTGAGGGCATCTTTCCACCTTTTTTTCGGAACGGATATACCGTAGAATAAATGTACCATTTTTACCTGAAAAATTAAATAAATGAACAAAAGACAAAAAGAAAAAAAGAAAAAATAAATAAGAAAAAAAGAATAAAAAGACAAAAAGAAAAAAATGACTAACCTTTTGCAGTTCACTGGTTTTAGAATTTATTTTTTCAGCAATCTATGTACTCTAGTTTTCGCGTTTTTCACCAGGCTCTTTTGAATTATCGTCAGTATCGTATTCACATATTTTAATTTTTTTTTTCATATTTTTTTTGGATTTTTCCTCTAGATTCTGGTTTTCAGAGCCTTGTTTTTGATACATTGATTTATAAGGCTCACAGTATTATTTGCTCGTATCATAGAGGATGGCGACTTTTTTGGAGTAACTGCCTGCTTATGAACAGATGAAACAGCAGACTCAACCTCTTCAGGAAAGTCTTCACTCAAATTCATCTGCTGAGGCTCGAGTGATCTAGAAGTATTGGAAATATCTGCATCACTCGAATAAGACTCAACCTCTTCAAGAGGGTTTTCATTCAAATTTATCTATTGAGACTGAAGTGATCCAGAAGCACTGGAAATATCTGCACCACTCGAATCAGACTCAACACATTCAGAATCTTCTCCATTCAAAGTCGGTGATAAATATCCGGTCCTCTGAGGTAAGCTGACTTCATTGACACGGATAACACAGCCCCATAAAAAAAAAAATTTTCAAATCCACCGACCGGACCTAGTAGACTTTATGTTTTTGGGGTCTCTGAATCTAAAAAAATTCATACGTGGGTTTTTGAGGATGCTGAATCCAAATCCGAGGTCGAATGACCTTGAGGAGGTCACCTTCAAGGTCATTTGAAGGTCATTTTAAGGTTGGATCACAAAAAGAGCTTACGAAAATCGGAAAAACTGTTTTCTGGGGACCAATATGTATAGCTATACAGAAAAAATACAGTTTATAAAACATATTACATTCTATTTCCCCAAAATTTCACGATGAATGCTACAAATATTGAGAATCTATTTTTTCTCATAAATCTGATAAAAATTGTAACAAGAAATATTAGATTGGTACATGGGTTAGCTTCAAAAATTTTCAAGGTAATCACAGAAGCGATCATAGAAAAATTTTAATATCAATGATGATAAAACATTTCGACAAAATGGAATGTAATATTTCTTATAAACTGTATTCCCTGCATACCTATATGCAGATTAGCTCCGAGAAGACTGTGGAGATTATAGCGACGGGCAAGAAGAATGGAATATGGAAGAATTCCATCAAGACATAAAACATATGGACCAGCGATATGAAGGTAGATGGGATGTTGCGATGATGGCTGATTACTGCTGGATGTAGAAGAGAAAGAGCCAACATAGAGGAACTAAACGCAAACAGCAACCTTTACGCCGATCGTTTGAAGAAAAAAAGGTGCATTACAAAAGAAAAAAGTAAATAATCATGCAAAAAACCTTGATCTTGATAATAAAATATCTGAATTCCTCAGCTCCAAAAACCAATACACAATCTTTTTCTATTATTTTATCGCGTTCACTTAATCACCCTTGACTCAACCTTTAAATGACCACCAATTGACCTTAAAATGGCTAGGTATAGTCAATATGAACAATGATCGAGATTCAGCAGCCCTTAAAATAGGAATGTGATTTTTTCGGATTTTTATATTGAATTCTCTAAGTTTGACATTCAAATGACCTCGAGTCAAGGTCGCAGAGATCATCTGATTTCAGATTCGAATTCATCATCCTTAAAAACCTATGAATGAGTATTTTCAGATTTTTTTAAGCTTTTTTCGTGATCTGACTTTAAAATGACCTTCAAATGACCTTTACATGGCCGGATACAGTCAAAATGACCTCTGATTCAGATTGAACGCCCCTCAAAACATAAGTGTGATTTTTTCGGATATTTTTACTGAATTCTTGTAGTTTGACCTTCAAATGACCTTGAAGGTGGCCTCCTAAAGGTCATTCGACCTCGGATTTGGATTCAGCATCCTCAAAAACCCATGTATGAATTTTTTCAGATTTTTTACCACTTTCTCATTATTTGACCTTCAAATGACCCGTAAAATGAGCCAACTTTGAAAAACCGACCCCAGATTCGGATTCAGCGACCCCAAAAACATAAAGTCCACTAGGTCCGGTCGGTGGGTTTGAAAATTTTTTTTTTGTGGGGCTGCGTAATTGATTGAGACTTTATCATTGATGAGTTTATCTGTTTTTCTGCTTCATTATTTTTAATAAAAACTCTTGAATCAGGTTTAATCATTCGATTTTGTTTCGAACTAGTCCTCTAGAGATATTTGTACGATAAGTTTTTTTATTAGATGATTATTTAATTTACTTCTAGTTTTCTGAAAAAACCTCTTACCTTTAATTTTTTGGGGGAGAAAGAACCATAATAAGTATCAGTTACATCCGGCTCGAGTTCATCACTTGAATTATTATTATTCCTCATTTGTGTTAAGCCTTTAAAAATATTGGTGGAGAGAGCTGATATAACAATCGAATTTCTTTGATTTTGCAGCTGCAAAATTTATTTAAGCGAGTCAAAAAAATTTATTGATATGTGGCAAAGCAACAAAATCTGTTTACCTTTCGTTTTTAGCCCAACGATGTATCTTTATCAGCTGATGTTTTTGGAGAATCGCAATAAATATTTGGAGATGTTGAGGGAGCTTTTTCTTTGAAATTTACTTTTTCCAATTCCAAATCATCAGAAGTTTGACTCGGTAATTGTTTTTTCATCAACAAATTTATTTCGCAATTTGGCAATAAATGCGAGCTTGTAAGGGTTGTCGCGGTGCTTTCTGCACGAATTTTTGTTCTGTTCGACGATGGCTTTTCTATTGAGGTTGGTTTTTTTTGCTACAAAAAAAATTAATGAATTAATTTTAGTTAAGAATCGTTCATTCTTGCAATAAGTAAACAAAAAAACCGCTGCTAATGTATTGGCAAGTAGCTTCCTCATACTTTTTTTTAACTTAAAAATAATTTGGAAATATTAATATCATCTTTTCTAATTTCTTCACAAAACAGTTTCAATCATAAATTATTTCTGTTTGTGGAATCAATTGCCAACGTTGTACAATTCATTGATATATAATTTTTATCGACTTTTTTTCACGATGACGTAACAATTAAAGTACTTCCCTCAAAAAAAAAATAATTTTTAGGCCAGCGGCCTAAAAGTGACTACTTCCCTGCCACTGCGCAAAACGAGAAGAGCGATTTTCGGGCTACTGTGTATGAATAATAGTGTACAGGCATATGCCGCAAAAAAAGCCCCAGAGCACGTGTTTATCGGCCTCGGCTTCGCCTCGGACACTAATTACACGTACTCTGAGACTTTTTTGTTTATCGCGGCCTAGGACGGTAATATACTATTGAAAATATTAATATTATCTTTTCTAATTTGTTCACAAAACAGTTTCAATCATAAATTATTTCTCAACCAAACGATACGAAAAAGAAAGAAAATAAATTTTCCAAAAAAAAAAAATTACTTTTATTATTATTACTTTTATTCGAAAAAACCAGTTTGTTTTATGAATGTTAAATGATGTTTTGGCTTCTTCCTTACATCAAAACGAATAAAATGAGACATCTGCAGTAATGATACAAACTACCGTCATCGAGATATCACTGCGCACAGCCCAACACACTCACACACACACACACACACACACACCGGAGGATATGGCGTCGAGCCTCATGGACATCATCACCGGCGCATGTGATGCCTCCATGTCCAGGGCAAACCCAGACCACCGTCGCGAGCCGGTGTACTGGTGGACGGCGGAGATCGCTGATCTTCGACGATCTTGCCAGAGATCGTCTGGCAGGACGAGGATGCCCGCAGCGCGAGCTACGCCTCCGCAAGACGTCTACTGCGCGTGGCGATCAAGACCAGCAAGAGCCGGTGCTGGAGACAGCTTTGCGACGAGGTCGACAGCGATATATGGGGCAAACCACACAGGATTGCCATGTCGCGCCTGCGATGCCCGCAGACCAGGCAGCCTAGCTCTCCTCTCCTGGTGCGCGGCGCGGTGGCGGCTCTGTTTCCGCGAGGGCCGAGCGGGCCCGCCTTGCATCTGCCGCGACGGCGGGAGAGCTGGTCCCAGCCGTCACAGGAACTCAAAGGAGCTCAGTCGAGAATCAAGGAGCGCCCGGCGCCCGGCCCGGATGGCGTGCCCAACTTGGCGCTCAAGCTCCCTATTGCCGCGCGTCCCGACATCTTCCTGCGGGTGTACACGACGTGCCTGGAGACCGGCGTTTTCCCGTCCAACTGGGAGCGCCAGAGACTCGTCCTGCTCCCAAAGCCAGACAAACCTCCCGACGAGCCGTCCTCGTATCGTCCGCTGTGCATGCTGGACATGGCGGGCAAGATTCTCGAAAGAATCATATGCGACCGGCTGGAGGCTTTCACAGAGAGACCCGGAGGCCTCTCGGAGCGACAATATGGCTTCCGGAAAGGGCGATCAACAATAGATGCCATCGAAGACGTCATTTCCCCCGACCGTGAGGCCATCGCCGGCAAGAGATGGTACAGCGGCACCAAGAAGTACTGCGCCCTGGTGACACTCGACGTGAGGAATGCGTTCAATTCGGCTCGGTGGGATAACATCCTCGCCGCTTTACACCGTTTGCTCGTACCCGATTACTTGCTGAGAATAATTTCCGGCTACTTCTCGGCAAGAGTGCTCGACTTCACCACGGACGATGGTCCAGAGTCCTACGAAGTCACGGCAGGTGTCCCACAGGGGTCAGTATTGGGCCCGATCTTGTGGAACGTCATGTATGACGCGATCCTGCGCCTCAACTTCGATTGCGATGTTCGTATCTTCGGCTTCGCGGACGACATCGCAGTGGTGGCTGTCGCCAAGCATCTATGGCAGATCGAACACGACCTGAACGCTGCTATACTACAGGTGCGAGGTGCGCTCCAAGCTCTCAGCTTGCATACAGCTGACCACAAGACGGAGGCTCTGCTCATCACAAACAGGAAAAAAGAGGAAACCATCACCATCACGGTAGGCGACAACAGCATACGCTCGTCCCCCTCCATCCACTACTTGGGCCTGCACATCGACGCCAAGCTGAAGTTCGACCACCACCTCCGAACAGTCAGCGCGAAGGCAGCCAGTGTGATCGGTGCCCTTACGAGGATCATGACCAACTCTGGCGGGCCCAGAAGCAGCCGACGCAAGCTGTATGCTCACGTCGTCGACTTCATACTCTTGTATGGAGCCCCCATCTGGAGCACAGCAGCTCAAAAGCGAGCCTACATTCGCCAGGCGGAGTCAGCCCACCGACGAGCCTGCCTGCGTGTGATCGGAGGCCGGCCGCATGTCTCTTACGAGGCCACGTATATCCTTGCCGGCATACCACCACTGGCCCTTCTTGCGGACGACCGAGCGCGACTCTACGGCCGCCGCCGAGAGGACGCAGAGGACGAGGAACGCTTGGCAAAGCTAAGCAAGTGGCAGGAAGCATGGGACCGGTCGACGAAGGCCCGATGGACGCACCGACTGATCCCGAATATCAGAGTGTGGATCGAGAGGAGGCACGGAGAGCTGAACTACCACCTCACGCAGCTCTTGACCGGGCATGGCTTCTTTAAATACCATAGCCGACGCTACGACTACAATCAAAGCACGCAATGCCCGGTCTGCCCCTCATCCATCGAGAATGCGGAGCACGTGTTTTACTACTGCCCGAGGTTCAGCGAAGAAAGAGAGAGACTTCACTCCCTGCTCCACGAGGTCATAACGCCGGAAAATACCACCAGGCTCATGCTCGCGAGCGAGCCGAACTGGCTCGCGGTTGCTTCCTTCGCCTACTCAGTCGTAACAAGATTGAGAGACGAAGAAGCAGACAGAAGGTGATGACCGGACGATGCGGCTAGAAGAAGACGCCATTCCAACCAAGCCTTCACGAAGCGCATAACGCCAACCCCTCCACCCCCGTGAAGTAATGCCTAACGGCGGTTTCCGCGGGGATGGAACAAAGGGAACTTGATGTGGATGTATGTACATAATATGCCAGAGCGAGCGCGAGCGCGAGCGCGCTCCTCGATCCTACGTACTGACTATAACAATATGCTACATTTCTACCTAATGTAAAACTCTATTTTCTATTTCTACTGAATAAATTATATTTATACATCCAAAAAAAAAAAAAAAAATACAGACACGTGTCAGCAATTCGATCTAGTTTAAGAATATACAGGGTGGGGAATAAATATGGAAACCCCTGGAAATCTCGCAGAATAAGTTGGGAAAAAAAATCAAAAACCTCATATCGGACGTATTTTTTCACGAGGAATCCAATGGTGACCTTGAATTTGACCTTGAACATGACCTTCAAGCTCCAGTGACCGAAAAATCGATTTTTCAAATGTAACCCCCATTTTTTATTGCAGATTTGAAAAGAGCACAAAATTTCACGTCAAAATGTATGTTTTGTTTTTTTTTTCAATGTCATTTTAAGGGCGTTACAGACGAAAATAAAGCCCCAATTTAACCTAAAACTAAGTTCAAGTAAGGGCTTTTTTTCTCATTGTACCGCCTTCTAAATGACCTTAACAAAAAAACAAAACATGCATTTTGACGTGAAATTTTGTGCTCTTTTCAAATCTGTTATAAAAAATGGGGGTCACCGTGCGAATAATCGATTTTTGGTTCACCGTAGAGTATAGGTTATGTTCAAGGTCAAATTGAAGGTCACCATTGAAAAGAGTGGAAAATTTTACGTGAAAATATGTATTTTATTATTTTTTTGAAGGTCCTTTTGGAGGCAGTACAATTAGAAAAAAAGCCCTTATTTGAACATAATTTTAGGTTAAATTGGGGTTTTATTTGCGTCTGTAACGCCCTTAAAATAACCTTGAAAAAAAAACAAAACATACTTTTTGACGTAAAATTTTGTGCTCTTTTCAAATCTGCAATAAAAAATGGGGGTTACATTTGAAAAATCGATTTTTGGATCACTGGAGCTTGAAGGTCATGTTCAAGGTCAAATTCAAGGTCACGATTGGATTCCTCGTGAAAATATTCGTCGGATATGAGGTTTTTGATTTTTTTTCCCAACTTATTCTGCGAGATTTCCGGAGTTTCCATATTTATTCCCCAACCTGTATATGTAAAAGCACTCTACGATTATTAGTTATGAAAGTCGAAAATCGGTTCGTCACAAAGCTTTCTCTATGAGGAAGCAAAAGTTACCTTTCCTGTCTTTACGACCAGAGTACTTTTATTAGCAGGTGTTGCTACTTTTTGGTTTTGACGTAAAGATGTTGTATAGTCAGCTGTAGGTTTTTCAAAGGCAAGTTTCAATTGCTTGTTATGGGCCAAAATAATATTCCCAACAGGAATTCTTGGCACTTTTATTATTGTTCGTAATCTTTCTGTGCTTGGCTGACAACGCATTGGTCGATCTTATCGATTCATGAAGCTGTGAAATTTTAATAGTAATAAAATAGGAAACTGTTGAAATTCCAATGTATGATTAGTAGTTTCACGTACAGATGACTCTCTCAACAAGCTCACCGCTCAATGAGGTGAATACTTACTTGCGTGTGTGAAGCGTGCCAGTGGGCATCAGGTGTATTTAATACATACAAATTAAATGTTAATAAATATATTTAAGCAAGTGAAAATTGTTGTTCTAGTGTTCATTATCTGCCCTTATTTTTATAGGTTATGGGCCCAGTACCTAACGTGTTGAAGTATCACAATAACAACTAAAAATAACAGTTAAATCTAACCAGTGACTAATTTAAGGTTACGTATGATAAGCGTGCAAGTTGAAACGTCGACACGAGAACACTTGAAAATTCGAGAACAATGAATGGCCTGACCAGAATACAGTTGCTTGAAAAAAACAACTATGAATCTTGGCGAATGCAAATGGAAGCAGTGCTTGTAAAAAATGATGTATGGCAGTACGTAGATGGTTCGGAAGTAAAGCCTGAAAATACTGCTGCTAATGTGAATGCAATTGCAGAGTGGGAAAAAATAGATTTGAAGGCCAAAGCCGACATAATCTTGTGTGTAAGCCCGGGGCAACTGTCTCAATTAAAATCGTGCAATACATCTCGAGAAGTTTGGTTAAAGCTTGAAAATATATTCGCATCGGAAGGTCCAGCAAGAAAAGATACTTTACTCAAACAACTTACATTAAAGAAAATGAGTGAAGGTGATGATGTTACAATTCATTTAAACAAATTTTCGGAGATCAAAGATAAATTGGCTGATTTAAATATAGAAATCAATGAAGACTTATTTTCTATTATAATGCTGTACAGTTTGCCAGCTTCGTTTGAGAACTTCAGGTGTGCTATTGAGACAAAAGATGAACTTCCCTCAGCTGAAGCACTAAAAGTAAAAATTCTAGAAGAATATAATGCAAGAAATACAAATCCAGAAACAAGTGCAATGATAGCATCTACACACAATCAAAGTTACATCAAAGAGAAAAATGAATATTTGGGAGAAAATTCTAAATTCAAAAATAATAAAATGAAAAATTATAACAAATTTGCAAGTGCAATTTGTTACAGATACAACAAAAAAGGTCACATAGCACCTCATTGTAGATCAAAATATCCAGTAAATAATAATAATGCCAATATGGTAGAAGATGATATAGAAGATGACGCTTTCTTTGCTTTTGTTGGTGATTCAGACCATATTGAAAATGCCAATGGAATGAATAAAAAATGGATCTTGGATAGTGGAAGCACCTCTCACTTGTGTAACGATATCAAAAATTTTGTGCAATTATCAGAAATTAAAGAACGTTTGAATTTGGCAAGCACAAGTATGACAGATATAAAAGGAAAAGGAACTGTGAGATTAAATATAAACACCAATAATACAAGTAAAAATGTGAAGTTAGAAAATGCATTATATGCACCAGATTTGCGAGCTAATTTATTATCAGTATCAAAAATAGTAGACAATGATAATGCAGTAATTTTTAGAAAAAATATTGCTGTTGTAAAGAATAATGAAAGTGATGAAGTTAAATTAATAGCGGACAGAATAGGAAATCTATACTACTTAAGAAAAAATGAAATTGAAAAAGAATTCGCACAACATGTAAAAGATAATGTAGAAAATTCCAACTTGAAATTATGGCATAGCAGAATGGCACATTTAAATGAAAAAAGTCTAAGAAAACTTATATTGCAGACAGCTAATATAACATTTAGTAAAAATGAATCAGTTTCAGATTGTGATACGTGTGCTATTGGCAAACAGACAAAGACTCTTTTCAATCATACCAGTACATGATGTGAAGAGCCACTACAGATAATACATTTCGACGTATGTGGACCATTTAACGTATCAACAATTGGAGGAGCAAAATACTTTGTAACATTTATTGACAATTTTTCTCGTTACTGTACAGTATATCTAATGAAGAGCAAAGATGAAGTTTTTAAGCACTTCCTTCATTTCAAGAGCATGTCAGAAAACCACTTTGATCGAAAAATTAAATATTTACAATCAGACTATGGTGGTGAATACTGTAATGAAAAAATGGAAAACTATCTAAACACTTCAGGAATACAAAGAAGATTGTCAGCTCCAAGAACGCCAGAGCAAAATGGGCTTGCTGAAAGAAAAAATAGAACCCTAATTGAGGCGGTCAGGTGTATGTTAACTGAATCCGGCTTATCGCTATCAATTTGGGGAGAAGCATTAATGACAGCGAATTACATAAGAAACAGGTGTCCAACTATGGGCTTAAATGGTGATATTCCTTATGAAAAATGGTTTGGAAAACCACCATCGTTGAAACATCTTATATCTTTTGGTGCTAAAGTATTTGTTTTAAATAAAGCACAAAAACCTAAACTTGCACCAAAATCTGATGAAGGAAGATTTGATGGATACTCAGAAACTAATAAAGCATTTAGAGTTTGGATACCAAGCCTGAAAAAAGTTTTAATATCGCGCGACATAAAAATTGTTGATGAACGGTAACTCAAATGAAACTCTAAAAACAATTGAAAATAATAATAAGTGCGAGATAGAAATCGAAATATCAAATCCAAATTCAAAAGCTCAATGTGAAGAACTTAAACTACACAACATGAAAATCAAGTAGTTATTAATGAAAAACGATTACGAGGTAGACCAACATTAATAAAAACAGGACGACGAGGGCGACCTAGAAAAAGATACAATTCCGTACCTATTCAATCAGAAGAAAGCAATCACGAATCAAGAAATATTCTCCTGCATGAAGGTCGTAGCCAATCCATTGATATAGAGCATCATAGTGAGCAAGACAAAGAAGAAATTGACTCTAATTCTTTCTTTGAAGATGCCGAAGAAGATGTGTTCGAAGAACAAGCAAATTTCGCCACTGTCGATTATCAAGAAGCTCTTAATTGAAACTATAAAGAAGAATGGAAGAAGTCCATATGTGATGAAGTAGGACAAATATTAAAAAATGATACTTTTGAAATTGTAAATCGCCCAAAACAAGGTAATATTATAGACTCAAAGTTAGTACTGACTAATAAAACTGATGTAAATGGCAATATAACTATTAGAAAAGCCAGGTTAGTGGCAAGGGGATTTGGACAAATTTTTGGAATTGATTATCTGCAAACTTTTTCACCAGTAGCTAGATTAGATTCATTTCGAATATTAATTGCATTAGCAGCTCAATTTAATCTTAAGTTGTATCAACTAGACATAACTAGTGCTTTCTTGCATGGTGAACTAAATGAAAAAGTTTATATGAAAATTCCAAAAGCCTTTAAATTATTCCTAGAATATATACTAGAAAATGATAAATATTATAGTATCCATGCAAAAGCCAAAGAAATGCTAAAAGATATACAAAAATCAAGTAATCAAGTTTGTTTGTTAAGATAATCGCTATATGTTTTAAAGCAAGCCAGCAGAGTATGGAACATAAAAATGGATAAAATACTAAAAACATTGAATTTAAATTCGTCCAAGTCCGAACCTTGCCTATACTACGATATTAATAAAAGCTATACGATTCTCGTTATATTATACGTAGATGATATGCTAATTGCCTATAATAGTGAAAAAAGATTGAATGAAATAAAACTAGGACTAAAATCAGAAATTGATATCAAAGATATAGGAGAAGCTAAATATTGTGTAGGTATAGAGATTATGCGAATAAATGATTCTATTTTCATTTCAGAAAGAAAACATGTAAATAAAATAATAGAAAAATTTGATCTAATTAATTAGATAGCCTTGGATTAATAGCCTCGGAGACAATAGACCGCTCGAGGAGCCTTGGGTTCGAATCCTGTCGGGGGAAGTCGGATTTTTCCGATTCCCGTTCGGCGGGATGAGAACCCATGTGCTCCGCCTGTCTTGGGGCGGTTTTTTTCCTGGAGGAGGAGGAGGAGGGTGTAGTGCATATGCACTACGTATACCCCCAGGTTTTCCCTGCCCCACAGGTCTTCGGGCCTGGGCAAATGCGAAACAGTAGGGAGGGGGGTAGTTAAACTCTTCCTGCGCACGGGCTCCAAGCCTCCTGCAGGCCCTTCTAAGAAGAAGGTGTCTTCTAAAAGAGAGAGAAAAAAAAAAAAAAAAATTCAAAACTATGTACAACTCCATCGGACATAAGTTTATTGTATACCTTAACAAAAGATCAATTGAAACTAAATCTAAAACTACCATACCAAGAGTTAATAGGAAGTTGAATGTATGTTGCTGTAGCAACTCGTCCGGACATCATGCACAGTGTAGTATTCCTTTCTCAGTTTAATACAAGCTATGGTAAAGAGCATTGGAACGCCGCGAAGAGAATAGTAAAATATCTAAAAAATACCATTGATTTATGTTTGGTATATAGTAAAGGCGATTTAAATATAACGGGATTTGTAGATGCAGACTAGGGTTCAAATGCTCTTGACCGGAAATCATTCACAGGTTATCTTTTTAAGCTAAATAATTCAATAATAACTTGGAAGACACAGAAGCAAAAAACCGTAGCTTTATCTTCTGCAGAAGCAGAATATATGGCATTATCTGAAGCTTGTAAAGAATTGATATTTTTAAAAAATTTATTGTCAGAACTTGGACTAGTTCCAAAACTAAAAATATTCAATGATAATCAAAGCGCACAGCAATTAGCTCACAATAGTATGTTTCATGCGACAATTTCGAGTCTGTAACTGAAAAGGTATTTGAATTACCTTTTCGTTTAGGCGTGACAGTGTCTCGTTTTCAGCTGATGTTGTTAAAGAGTCAAAATGAATTTTAGCAGATGGTATGGGAGCTCTAACATTGAAATTTACTTTTTCTAATTCCAACTTCTCAGAAACTTGACTCGGTATTTTGGTTTTCATCAGCAAATTGATTTCCGCACGAATTTTTTTTCTATTCGACGATGGCTTTTCTATTAAAATTGTTTGTTTTTCTCGCTACAAAAAAAATTAATTTAATTGCTGAGTGTCAGAATTTTCATTTAGAAATAATCGAAAAGTAACCATTTTTACCTTTCTTTTCTGCAGGACCTGAGGACTTTTAGGAACAGTAATTACTGGGTTTTTGTTTTTGCCTAATGATGTAATGCTCTCAGCTGAAGCTTTTTCATTGATACCAAGTTGTTGTTTTTTGGCACTGACCAAAGTGCGTTTAGCAGCAGAACTTACTAGCGGCGAATCATGTTCATTGTCGTTTAATATTGCATGAGTAGTAGATGATGACGTTATTCTCTTTTTCCATAGCTGTAAATTTTTCAATTTTTCAATATATAATATAGTAAGATGCATCGTTTGTTTGTTTTTATTTTTTTCACCTTAGCATTGTCACATGCCACATCAACATTCTCTACTTGTTTTGAATATTTTACTTGCGATGTTGAATCAGTCAGAATATTAAAGTTAGTTATTTTTCTCTTTTGTATATGGTGCTGAATTTCTAATTCAGCTTGGATTACATCATTATTGCTGGAAGTATTCTGAAAAAAAAGATTGAAAAATAAAAAAACAGCTCTTCAATCAAAATAAGTAGAATTTTGCGTACCATTACATTATCAATGAACTCCTTTTTACGGAGGATTTTTTTTCTCATTCTGATTCATGTTTTTTGGTGCTTTGTTCAACTTTTTTAATTCATGTTCAACGTCACTTCGACGTTTGTTTAGTTTTTTCCATCTCTTTATAGGGTTTTCAACTTCTATCACTTGATCTAAAATATAATTTGAATTTGTTAAAATATTTGAAGACATGAAAATTAATTAATAAAGATTGAAATGACTGAATCTCATAAATTTATTTATACCTGACACAGATAAAGTTGACGCAACTTCAGATACAGGTTGACCATTTTTATACTTGTCTGTCTCAACAAAGGCATCATAAGGAAATTTTTTATTGTACCCTCATCAAAGTTAATAATCTTTTTAACTGGGAGAAGTTGAACATCTTTATTATTTTTATAGAATCGTACAACAGCATTTGAAACTGCTCCACAAGACTCATTCGTATTTGTAGGATCTAAACGAATCTTTTTACAGTTTTCTGTCTTGACATCGGCTGAATCTTTATTAAAGGTTCAAAAAGTTAGCACCCAGAAATAAAAAATATCACTTTCGACCGATGAGACTTATATTAATCGTTTGCGCGTGTGAAAATATGTGAAAAGCCAGATTTTCACGTTTGCGCGTCTCCAAATTTTGGTAGAAAATGAGTTTTTCAAATGGGTGCCGAAATCCAGCACCCAAAATGAAATGCATGGAAATTCGGCAATAAAAAAATAAAAAAAATAATTCCTGCATGCCAAACGATTGTTCGTCGAACGCGCAAACGAACTATATATACCATGTGCCGCAAAAAATTGATTTTTACAGTAAATATCAATAATAAAAAATATCAATATTTTGCGATGACGAAGCACTCGCTCTTGCGCAGTGCGCGATTCGTACAACGTCTGCTGACGGTCACCTGTCGCGGTGTGCATTGTCCGTCGACATTGTAGCACCCAACCACTTGAAACTCCAAAGTGCAAACGATGTAAATATCTGCAAGCCACGTGCACCAGAAGATGTTACTAAAATTGTTTATATATAAACAAACGCAAAGTAAGTTATATACTGGGCGTGACACGCGCTCATCGATATAATCTCTATTAAATTTATACAATACCAAGTCATTATGTATTGTATAATTAATATATTTAATACCAAGTCATTGTATTTTTTTTTACAGGTTACATTTCGACGAAATGCATACTGCATGCAATATTGCATGCAATAAAAGTCATCTTCTGGTGCACGTGGCTGTCATGATAACAAGTCTCAACAACGGAGTCTCTAGAAAATGTTGCAAGTGAGAAAAAAACGAGAGCGAGAGAGGCAGACAGAGAAAAAGCAAGCGTAAAGTATCAATGCAGTGAAAAATGCCAACAACGATTGCCAAGAAATTCAACCTGAATTTGGTATTATTGACTTTAAAACGAAGACTATGAGAAAGTTCAAGAAACGTTCCAGCTTCAAATAAAGGAGATTCTAAAAACAGTGATACAAAGTGCATTGGACATTAATAAACCATCATTGTATTAAAACCATTGTGCTCCGAATTTAAAATTTCGCGCATTTTAGTTCTACCAGAGAGCGCCGGTGTCGTTGGCAATGCTCGTCAAGCGCTGTTTTCAAAGAACTCCGATCGCTTGAAGCACGTCGATGCTCGTTTTTTTCTAACAATTCACTCTCAATTTTCTTTGGTGATAGTGATCATTCAGCAAAAAGTTGTTCAGTGATCAAATGGAAACATTTAACATAAATCTCACCACAGCAGAATGGGAGCCTATTAAACCTTGCGAAATAAAAGAAAAAGACAGAATCGTCCTTCAGTTGCAACCCGGCTGGAGTGACACTATTATTAAAGCACTGAGGCGGGTAATAACGATTCCTTGTCCCTTTGCTTTTAAAAAACAACAGTTCTTCAAAAAAAAAAAATTCTCCGTATTTCATTTTTTATGGTTTTTGTCCAGACAATAATTGTGACAACACAATTATTGGAAGTTGTGTTAAACCTCCGCTTGAAGGGGAATGTGTAGAAATCAGTATTAACCCATTAAGTCCCAAGAGGACGTTTTTTCAACCCTTTATTCGTCCACTGTATTTTTGGTAAAAGTGGGGTCAAAAAAATATGCGAGTAACTATTTTTAATATAAAATTTAATGCCCTTTCAGAATCTGATCTAAGATTTCCGAAAAAATGATCAGGTCAAAAGTTACACTTGATTTTACCCAAAAAAACATGATTTTAAAAAAAAAATTTTTTTTATTTTTAGAATTTCCAAATGAAAACCATTAGAATTCTTAGGGGTATCGTGCAAATATCGCGTCCTCGATACCTAAACTAAAAGTTAGTGGGGTTTAGATTGAAAAAATTAATGTTTAAACACAAAAAATGGCGGTCGAAACTAGCAAAATTAAAGAAAACTTATAGAATTTTTACTCAAAAACGAAGGACTTGAGAAAAAAGTGTATTTTTTAACTTTATTTTCTTCAATCTAAACCCCACTAACTTTTAGTTTAGGTATCGAGGACGCGATATTTGCACGATACCCCTAAGATTTCTAATGGTTTTCATTTGGAAATTCGAAAAATAAAAAAATTTTTTTTTTAAAAATCATGTTTTTTTGGGTAAAATCAAGTGTAACTTTTGAACTGATCATTTTTTCAAAAATCTGAGATCAGATTCTGAAAGGGCATTAAATTTTACATTAGAATTAGTTACTCTCATATTTTTTTGACCCCATTTACACCAAAAATACAGTGGCCGAATGAAGTGTTGAAAAAACGTCCTCTTGGGACTTAATGGGTTAAAACCAAAAATTCAATTCATACTGGTAGAAGAAGATTTGTGTAATAGTTCGAAAAAAATGCCTGCAACAGCTGCTACTTCGGATGAAGAAATTTTCAGTGAGTTAAAAAATCATCCCGAAATTTTCGAAAATGAAGTGCTTGTCAAAGAGAGAAATTCCAAGTGGGAGCCTATTTTGAACAAGTTACCTAGGATCAGTCGACATAATTTGTATATCAGAATTCAACAAAACAGAGCTTCATCGTGTGATAAAAAGAAGATTCAAGGCTTACAAGATAGACTGAAAAAATATTTTCTCTACAACAGTGAAAACTTGAGTATCGTCGATGTAAAAACTGAACATGTTAATGAGACGGGCATCGAAAAAGAAAATGTGAAACCTGAAGAAAAACGAGAATTGATCCAAGTAGAAGATGACCAGCTAAAATACTATGAAGACGAGTATGACGAACTTCATAGAATCAAATATGATGTGAACTATGGCCACAGTGTTAGCTCAATATCGTGCATTAAAACAGAAATTATATATTTTTCAAAAGAGCAATTGGATTTGCTCAAAGATTTCATCAATTCCAATGCTCAAATATTATTTTTTTCTCTTGAGAAAATGTTCAGAAAAACAAGGATGAGAAATTACCTCAGTGAACCCTTATCTTATATGAGTGTATCTGTATCAATTGAGCAACAGCCAATCTCTTTTGCTCAGGCACTCGCTGAATCTTTAGATAATTTATTTATCCAAAATTTCATTCTTCGAATTTTGAAATCAAATATTCCTTTGCCTTCAAAAGTAATCATCACATTTCAACAATCATTACTTGATGGGATTTGTATTGGACTCAATCAGTGTTCTTTTCAAAAGTATAATGCTAATTGTTACAGAAACTGTAAGCCTGAAGTTCATATATTTATTGATGTAGTCAGTATATTAGTAGCTGTTAGTAATTTGAAACTTTTTGAATCAAAACCAAAACTTGTGCGAAATTTTTATCTACAATGTTTAATTCAATTGAGCTTATGTTCAAATCAAGAAAATTTTGATAAGATGCTTCAAGACATATTTGAAGTTATGTTTGCTGAAATTGAAGTTGATTCTAAATATTGCTCTCAACTTTTATTGAAAAATCAGTTCAATAATCCAGAACATGCCAAAAATTATAATATTTTTCGGACATATTTGAAAGAAGATAAGTTATCGAAGCTACTCTTTCCAAATGAAATCAATTTGAAGGCAGAAGAAACGACAGAACATGAAATTTTAGATCATATAAAAAAAATTCAAGAAAGTGCAGTTTCTAAAATTAATACTAATGCTATTAATTATAATACTATTCAAAAAAGTAAAGCGAATGCTTACTACTTGCCTGAATTGTATGAACATTTGGAAGTGATTCTTAGCTATTATTTGTGCTGGACCGATATAATGGATTCCACTGATAACTTCAATGTAGTATCATCATGTGTATGTGATACTTTTGATCAATTTAATGAGTTGGATCCAAGTCCATTGATTGTGTCAAAATTCATTAAGTATCACATAAACGCCATCAAACTGAACATGCAAGCTGGTAGACTATTACAGAAAAAGAGATCATCATCTACAGTTCACTTTGAAGGAAATAAATCCCATCATAAACATAGATGTTTATCGTTTGAAGAAAACTGGAAGAATCAAAACAGCCCTCAAGACTGCGCACGATAATAACAGTTTGGAAGAAGACAGAAAGTTAGCAAGACAGAAATCAGAAAAAAGTCACGAGCAGAATAAAAAATATTATGATAAGAAGAAACGCAACATAAATTATAAGAAAAGAGATTTAGTGTACGTGCAAAATGGAAACAGATTAAATAGAAATGAGTTAGATTCTGTAAGATTAGGACCGTATAAAATAAAAGAAAAACTATCAAATGTAATGTATATAATAGATATAAAAAACAAAAGGGAATCAAATATTTTTCACGAGAGCAAATTGGCGCCCTGTTTAAAAACCTGGTCACTTTCTGAATGTGGGGGATGTAAGTTTGACATGTGATCAAACTTGTGTGTGTCGATATTGATAGAGAGGGGATTGAGCATTGTAAACTAGCGGCAACTCTGGTTGCAGTATGCTGAACGCAAATTTTCATGTAATAAAAGGCAAAAATTGCCAGTTTGTGCACACTTTTTAGTGCGTATTAAGCGTTTTTGGACACTGGCGTGTGTGTTTTGAGTTGATTATATAGTAATGTATAAGTGAAGTTGAGTTGAATATAGTAATGTATAAGTGTACATGTTAATAAAAATGAATAAATTTACAGCTTTAAAACTGCAACAACACAAGTGTCATACTCAATCTAATACCTCTGATAGAACGACTTATATATGATATATACATGATAATAATTAGTGCACAACAATAACTTTCAGTTTTTTTGTGGTCATAAAAGAAGTGAATGCTTCTCTTTCCAGCACTGAATCGTCGACACTCGTGTGCAGTATACTTGGTGCAAGGCTCGACCTTGTTTTGAGGTAAGAACTCAGATATGCTACTTGGAGCATCAGTGAGTTAATATTAGGACTGCAGGGCAAGCACGGGCTAAGGCCCAGACCCTCGCACGTCTTACTATCAAAAGTTTTTTTCGAAAACTT